TAGGCCGCTGTAAATTAAGTGACTCGTGATGAACGAGCTTCAGGGCACACCACACACTCTTTTGCGCTGGCTCGGGCAAATTAACAAGGTTGTCACATGCACTCCGCTTGAACATGAAGATTGATGTGGAAGGCTGTGCATAGTTTCTGTTCAGAGATGTTCACGGTAAAGCTGTCCTCACGCTGTTCGAAAACCTGTTGTTGTCAACTTTGACCAGAGTATATGGGCTAGATCAATTATATATTCAATTTACATCAATTTTGTTTGTTCTGTTCCGTTTGCACTAGTTTTCACAGCTTTTGTTATGGGAATCGGGCAAAACCTGATCAAGCGTGTGCTTGAAGCATTGCGGACGCTGTGGCTACCGCTCAAAGGTTTACAGAAATTGAAATAGCCAAGAAGAGTAGAAAATTGATCTTTCCATTCAAAGCACCTGCAGCATGGCGCTCGCATCGCAGAAAAGAGACTGTGATCCAAATTTGGTCCGTGATGATTCATGTCGCAAGGTCTCGCTGGAAAAAAGTGATCATGTAAGACAAAAACTAGTTCAACAACTTGGCGTTGGGTGAATTCAATATGAATTGGAGTGGGTGTACCCACCTCAAATTTATCTATATATGTAAGATAAACCAAGGGTGGTGGGACGTGGTGGTGGTCTAAGGTAGTAGTCATTGAGGATCTCAGTCGTAACCCCTTGGCGCACACTTCCGGTGTTTCTGGGACCAAGTGGATGACATCCATTTGTTTTGGTGTTTTTGGAGCCGGAACCCTTTTGGTTGGAGAATGTGCCCAGCTGCAGTTGAGGGTGGTTCACAAACTAATGATTGGTTGAGGATGCTCGGATGCTCGTAAAGTTACAGCCATTATTGAAATATAGTGACAATTTAAAGTTGTGTGTGCGTGTTGGGTGTGCAGCGTGGGGGGGTTGCTCAACCTCAAGTCGCTGCGCGGCTTATTATGTGCCTTTTGTCGTTGCGATGCAGAACCCACCAGGTGGCTGGGATGATTTGTAGCTAACTTGTGGATGTTAGAACTTATTATAAAAATTTATGCATAAGTGGACTTAGAGGAGTTAAAACATACCCGTCTGGAATCCAACTATTTTTTCCTGGACCTGGGCCACAACTATATATAAAAACAATAGGTCCCCCTACCATGGCACATGGACCTGGCAAGCAGGACTTCATAACTGTTTCATATTCTAACATGATTTCATCAAACAGGATTTTATAAAAGTATGTTTTTTTTAATAAAGTCCTAGTGGTGATTCCATTGCAGATTCCTGGAACAATACCTTGTTTTAGGATTTTATAAACTGATACTGGCAAACCAGACGGCTAAAGTTGGGGGGGCAGGGCGGCGCTGATATTCGGTTTTTTTTCGGACGGTGAAGAGGACTGGCCTCCAACCTAAGAGCGAAGGCCTCCACTAGCAAACTCTCTGTGTCAGACCTGCAGCCAGAAAGATCGTGCTGAATCATCAGGCATTGGGCCATGCTATGTTGTCCTGTACAGTCATGAAACTCACTGTAAAGAAGGCTGGCAGAAGAAGGCTGGCTCAATGCCTAAAGTTGCATGTTGGACGTGACACAGCACTGCTAGGAACAGGATTTTATAATTGGGTACCACTTTTAACAGAACAAACAGGATTTTATAATTAGGTTTGCTCTCGACTCTCGAAGATCTCGAAGCCTTTGCTTTGTAGGTGTTCCATTGTTGTGTGGACTCTTGCTGGAGGTAACCTGAGTGAAGCAGACTGTGAAGATGGCGGCGATCACTTCCAAGACTTTGACGGAAATGATGATGGCAATGATGATGAGGACATTGTGCCACCAATAGCCCAGTCTGAATCAACGGATCAATGCTTGGAGATGCTGCGACGCGTCCAGGACATGGAGAAGAGGATCCAAGATGAAGACAATGAGGTGAAGCGTTCAGATCCGCCACAGGAAGATGCTGCCCCAGGGAGTAAAGACCTTCAAGCACTTTTTGAGATCCCGGAGGATGCAGTGCAGTCTGATTCTTCCAAATCCATGCTTGGAAGGCTTGGCAGTTGCCGGACACTTTCGGAATTCTTCGACATTGTCTCTGGAGGTGTGGCTCACCAGGACATAGAACCGTTGTGGGGTCCAATGTGGCAGCTGTTGTGCAATTTGAGAGTGCCTGCTGACAAGGCTTGGTTGAAGAACCATCGTGGGTCCAGGGTTCGATCCGACAATCTGTCATGGCATCAAACTGCTCAGTGGCTTGGATGTCGAGCACGCGCAAGATTTTATAAACGTCACATTTTGTATGCTTTATCAAATTTCAGGATTTTATAAGCTTCACATATATCACATATTTCATTTCACTCTGCGCTAAGGTCATGAGGCGGATAGCAGGAGTTTCGGCTTCCCGCACGTCCAGGGTGGCTGCGTGGATGAATATGAATGCGGCCCTCCGGCTCCAACAAAGGTCTCGTTGGAGGTGGGTTCCATCATGTTGTACGCCACCAGTGGAAAGGAACCAAATTTCACATTGGGGTGTGCTTTGAGTGTGTTCCGCTTTGGGAAGCAGGGATGTAGACTCACCAGCTTTCCTGTTCCCTTTGAAGCAGTGGCCAAAATCCGCATGGTGCCGCTCCGGCGCATTGCAGACGGCGAGGAGGAGGAGGAGTGGTACGGATGCAATTCCTTTTCTGGGTGCATGCAGGTTCATCGCAAAGCTCACGGTCAAGGAATGTTTGGCTGGCTTGGATGGAATGCGTGTGGCGTTGAGTGATGATGACAAGATCGCCATGCAGGAAGCTCAGGGCAGCTCAGAATTAATGGACATGATCCTCAGCGGCGAGAAGAAACCAGGCAGAAAGAGAACGCAGCAGACCACCGATGCCGATGAGGTCGCTGCGCAAAGCAAGGCTTTCCAGTTCATGCCTTCGTCGTTTGGTGCAAGCAAAGCTGGAGGTCGCAACATTCAGCGTTGCATGGAGGGTTTGCTGAATCTGTACAGGTTAAGCTTTCCCCTGCAAAACATCTTCGACGAGCATGGCAATGTGAAAAGCACAGGAGTGGCTTGGGAGGACACAGTGAAGAGATCACCAGAGTTCTTCTCGAGCTACTTTGGTCATGCGAAGAAGGGCGACAGGTCAGCGCTGATCTTCAAGTACCTGGAGGACATCAAGCGTGCTTTGATGGAGAAGCCTGCAAGAAAGCATGGTTTTTTCAAGCTGCTGTCCGAGAACCGCAAAGGATCTCGGATGATGAACGACACTGCATGAGCAGGCCGGAAAAAAGTCAGCTCTGCATGCTCTGCGATGGATTTCCATGGATGGACAAGACAGCTTTTCTTATATTTTCCTGTGTGGAATTGTTAGTGTTTTGGCGGGCGTAAGGAATTCATAAATCTATGGTGCCCCAATCCCCGGGGAGGACGTGACCAGGAATCCGCCAAGATCTACGAGTGTTTCCCCAGGGAGTTTAATGTCCCAGTGATAGGATTTTATAGAACCTAAATTTTGAAGCATGGACCTGGCCAACAGGACTTAATAAATCTTGCGAACTAAATTTTCCTAGGAAATTTCTGTTTTTTCTAGGAGTCCAGGTCCCCCTGGAGTACACACGGGTATTTAAAACCTAGTTCTAAGTAGGTCGTAAGTAATTTTTAAATTGTATATGTTTAAAATCTTCTTTTCGCGCAAGAATTCTTGTTTTTCCGACGTGCGTTCGTTTTCAGTGCAAACAGAGGAGGAAAAACAAGTTTTTGCGTTTATTTGGCCTACACTGGAAAACTTAGAGTTCTAGATTCCTCGCCTACATTCATTCGGCCACCATTCGCTTAATCCTCCCGGAGCAGACTTTCTTTTCAGACTTTCCCGGAGCAGCCAAAAATCATTACCAAAAAAAGAATGAGTCTTATGTAAAAACACAATAAAACATGAGTCTTAAGTTCAACCTAAGTCAAACTTAAGTTCGATTTCAGTAGGAATTAAGTAGAAACAATAAACAAGATAATTTAGTTATAAGAACACCAAGTTAGTTGTAAGTGGAGGCGATTACTTAACACACGTATACAATTTATAACCTACGTTCAAAAACCTATAACCTACGTTATATCTTAAACAAAGTCGCACAGCAGCCGCCCGGCAGCACCTGAGGGTTCACCGAACCCAATTGCTCGCACACTTGACGAAACCTTTCGTGGGGCATTTTACGGCGGCATGTTCTGAAGCAATGTGATGCTCTGAATGCGCACGTTTCTGTCCATTCACGAATGTCACGAACCACTAATTGTTCGGAACCACAAGGGTGTTCAAGGTGTTTTTCTTCCGAACATATCAGGAGAACCGCCATCATGATTCTCGTCAAGTCACCAGAACGTGGTCTTGCATCAAAACCATTAGAGAAAAGACCATTCAAACATGCAAGTCACAATATGGAAAAAACATCACATCGTCAACCGTTTCGCGGCGGCGTGGTTCGAAGCGTTTTCTGGGCTCAATTTGCATTTTCAACTGCGCGCGGCTTGGTGTTCGCGCGAAACAGTTCGATGGAAACGGGGTTTGGCACGCCGTAGAAGATTGACATCGAACCTGAAATCCAGTGGTTTGTGGAGAAAACATATTTCGAAAGGTCCATTGTCAGGTTTCATGCCGTTTACCTTGCAACCGCTGCTTCTTAGACATTGGAATTCAGGGGAGGAACGATACGAACCACAATTACGTATGATCAGGGGAGAACTGGTTTGAAGCATCCAATTTCAACCATGATGGTAGTAGGCACGAGGAGGTAACCAGTGGGATGCGTGGACAACTTTTGGGAGGCCCTTAAGTTCAAGGTCACTACTGCCCTTCATCCACCCCTCTTCAGCACACCAAAGAGTAGCAAGACCCCATCAGAGTAGCAAGACAGGTAGCACCTCATCTTCAGGATGTGAAGGGTTCCCCAGTTCCCCAGTCCTTTGAACATCGGTTCCTTTGATCGATGGGAAGCCGTTGCCCCGCTTCTCCAGGAGGGGATGAAGGCTATGGATTTGCTTCCAGGTGCGACCGAAGGAAGCGGAAGATGTGGGCCACAGATGGCCACAGGGTCCGGGTCTCCGTTCACAGCCTTTCTCAGGTCCCCGACCGGCCTGGGATCTGACTTCGCATGACCTGCTTCACATGACCTACTTGCAGAAGGCCCATGTTTGTTTGCTGTATAAGGGGGTATATCGGTTTTGCCTTGGCTGGACTGTGTACATGCCATATGACGCGCCGCATAAACTACATAACTCCATCCTTTGGAGGTACCTTCACCCACGTCAGGGGACCAAACTATCACGCCCGGATAGATCAGAAGCAGTTCGGGCTCGGTGAGTGCCATTTGGAGTGCGTTAGCACTTCTAGATAGATCTTTCCAGGGAACGACAACATATGGACGCGAGAAAAAAACATGAAGAAACGGCCACGCGCACACACACACACACGCGCGCGTACCCCACTGGGAGACATCTTTTGCCTACAAACCCATGTTACCTTCGACTTCTTTTCCCGTGCCACACGGCAGTTGGTGTGGCTGTGCCATGGTTTATGGGCTTCATGGGCCACCGCCATGTGGGAACGGGCAGATGTGGGATGTTGGTCGGAGAGCTTCAGCTTCAGCAGCTGTTGCTTCTCAGCTTCCGCAGCCACGCTTTGCTTTGACGAGGTGGCCAGTGGTGCCCAAATCTAGTTGCGAAAAAATCATCAGAGATGCATACTGCAGACATGCACTTTGGCACTCGGAATCTGCTTTAATCGCCCATCCGTCGAATATTGCGAATATTGATGAAACGGCAATTTGATTGAACCACCAATGGGGCGCCCGGTGGCCCCAAATAGCATGGGCTCTGATATGAGCACCACATGTGATGCAGATAGAATCGTCAAAGACTAGACGTTGAAACACAGTCTGAACTGCCCGTGGGGGCCCCCATCGGGCCATCCACTCGGGAAGTCTTCACTTTCTGACTGCATATTGAGTGTATCACAATATGTGTAATTTTGATATTGTGTAATTATTAGTATATCATGTATTAAAAATATTACGCGTACCGTTCATTAGATTCTATTGGCACAGGATCAAGACGTCCAAATCTTCCGCGCTGCAGGTCTTCACATACGACCGCTGCTGCCGGGTACCATTCACAGAGATCAGCCAAATGTTGCTCTCGCGCTGGCCGGCCCTGGCGCGCGCACAGGAACGCTGGCCGGCGCGGCTCAAGAGCACGCGCAGGGGCCGCTGGAGGTGGCGTGCCCTTGCCGATTTGGCTGCGCAGCAGCTGGAACGCGCTGGGAGAAAGGTCAACGTTGCTTGGATGTGTATGTTCATTGCCAGTTTGCAGGCGGTGAATTGCATTATGATGGCGTTGTGATATTGATTCATCAGTTGATTAATCCATATCCACCATCATCATGGGATTTAGCACTCACCTACCACTAGCACTTCACCATCCGTTTTCTCCACCAATTTATGTAATTCTTCTACATCTTCTACCACAGGCTGCCATGCACCACCCATCGCAAGGCTGAGTCAAACCTAAGTAACCCAAATTCCTTCCGTGTCCTTTCTTTAGCTCAATAAGCTACTAGGAACATCTAGGAACAAGTGCATCGCTTCTAGCAACAAGTGCCTTACTACTAGTAACAATAAGTAGTTATTTAGCTGATTGGCGCCCATTGGTCCAAACTTTCCAGGATGGAGACTTCATCTCCGCCGTGGCCGAGCTTTTGGTCTTCTACACCTGGCGCCTCCGCGCGAACCGCGCCGCAGCTTCGAGGGACTTCGACCGCTCCAGTCGAACAGTGGAGCTGCGAACCTGGAGACGGCTTCGGAGGGCCATGGAGGCTCAAAGGGCGGGGCCTTTTGAGGCTTGCGCATGTGCAGGGAAAGGCCAGATCTGTTGTCCGTGTTGTTGAGTTGCTTTTTTTGAGAGTTGTTTAGTTATTTGATGTTATTTTGAGTTACTTCATGTTGTGTGTGTGTGTTTTTGACACGAATGCGCCTGGCTTACCCGCTGGACATGTCAACATGGTTTCTTGGGATGATTTCAGTTTCCCCACGTCAGGTGCAGCGAATGTTTAGAAGTCTGACTTTCAATGCCTGTGGAGTAGGTAGCGTAGCTGACTGACAGCATCCCCTTCATAGAGAAGTTTACTCTTGCATGTAGGAGCATTTGTTTGCCGCAAAGTGTCTTTATTGTTTTTGCGGATGTTCTTCCTGCTAGGCTATGACATGCTCATGGCTATGAGGGACAACATCAAGAGGCTCTGGCTGCACCATGCCAATTTCTCCAAGTTTCTCACCACTCCATCTGAGCCTGCGCACTATCTTTCGATCCTCCAATCCTGTGCGAATGAAGAGGTCTCCGCGCACGCACTGGTCTATTTCCAGCAGACCTCCCTCCAGATCTTTGGCCGAGAGAGAACCGGTCCAGCTATTTGTCTAAATCCCCACGACGATAACCATCACAGGTCAAAGGTTCGGTTCACCTCCTTGGTCCAAAAACGGGCGGCACAGTCGTAGGCCACGGGCTCGGCACAGTAGGCCACGAGGTGAGACATGGCCCAAGCTTTTTCAGGGGGGTCAGAACCAAAACGACGACAGGCATAACAAGACCAAAAACCTGCCAAAGGTGCCTTTTCTTGGCGTACTTTCATGTACAACCTTTGCTTTCGATCCTGTGAGCAGATCGGCAGGCAAATGGCTTTCATGTCCCATGTCGATGTCACGTTGCAATTCCTTTCCGAAGAACGGCACCGTCAGCGTGAAACGTCGAGAAAAACGGTCACCGTCACGGCCACGGCGATCGACAGGACGAACTGTGTCTCCGGGGACGTGGCGAGCAACATCGCAGTGGCACAAGCATGCATTCTGCAGGGCCGCTGGGATCGTGCAGCCGATTTGCTCTTGTTGGCCTTTGCGTTGGTCGTCTTGGCACCTTGGAGGGATTGTGGCCTGGCAGATTTGGGCAACAAACCATATCCCCACTGATGAGTGGTTTTGGGGGGTTCTAGGCTAGTCACCGTTGGCAATGTGTGGTAATCATGTTTTTTTTTGTGTGCGTGTGTGGTGTGTAGACATTCACATGGACATGCTCGCAAAAAGGCCAGGACCTGAAAGAAGAAGCTGAACACCCAGGACCGGACCCCTCCAATCACGTGGAGCTGTTGTTTTTCTCCCCACGGACGCTGGCTGTGGGGGGTTCTGATTTGGATCGGATGATGCTTGACATGTGAGGGTTAATTTTACATGTTCATTGCGTTGCCATGGTGATTTGGCATTGAAACAGTGACCAGGGATGACTGAGGGATGACTTTGTCAGGTTCCTGTATGTTTTTGGCGAGGTTTGAGCTTGAGTTTCTGGGACATCACTGCTGATGATGTGGTCTACAACGCTGCACGCTTGGCCAGCATGAGCAGCAATAATGCCAAGCAGCGGCCGCAGTGGCTTGCCAGCAGACAGGAAGATGGGCCTTGGAGATGGCGTTTTTGGGACTTAAACGGTCCGATTCCTTGTCATGTGCCGGCATGGACATCGCAGTGATGCCGTCTATGGATCGGGTGGTGAGCTAAAGCTATCCAATGATCATGGGTGGAACATATTTTGTGACCGTTTTCCGTGGGCGGGGCAAATTTGTACTTTTGATTGCTGGAGGGAGAGTAGTTCAGACTAGACAATCGCATGCTGGAGCCTTGGTGAACATGGTTCCTTAGCGTTCATGCTCGTGTGGTTTTCGGGTTGTTGGATGGCGATCGCCTGGGCACTTTGTTCCACCAACCATCTTTTGGGATGAGCTGTTGAAATCCCAATATGTTCAACACGGGCTTTGAGCAACAGACATCGTTTGAGTCGTGCCCGCGCGGCCACCATATTCATCGTTCTTACACGGGGAGCAACCAGACATCACCAGACCTTGAGGTGCAATTGGTTTTTCTCCCGAAGACTTTCCGATGGTGAGGGATGGCCCATCCTTTTATAGGGAACGAGGGTGGATCCGTAGAGCGTAACTTCCCTGTAGATTTGCTGAAATCACGAAAGGTAGCCCTTTAGGGGATACCTTGAGTTTGCCTTGCGAAGCAAGTGTTGGGACGTCCGGGTCTAATAATTGATCGCTCAATTCAGACCCCCCCCACCCCCCCCCCCTTGGAATTGATTTTTCAATACAGACCCCCCCCCCTCTAAAATCAATTCTCTCCTGGAGAACGTCTTCGTGAGCCTCTCATGATTTCAGGATAGTTGAAACCCTCTTGAACATGTAGAAAGAGTGAATATGAAATTCTAATCACGAAAGGTGTTCCCCGAGGGGATACATACCTAGAGTTTGTTTTGTGAAGCACGTCAATTCTCTCCTGGGGAGCGTCTTCGTGAGCCTCTTATGGTTTCAGGATAGTTCAAATCCTATGATGTTCCGATTCAATGCTCACCGATGATCTGAGCCATGGGGCAAGTTTGTTTTCCTAAGAACCTTTTTGAACATTTCGAGAGCATATGTTTGAACATTTAGAGTGCATATGAACATATATTTACGAAAGGTCGCCTCCGAGGGGATAAATCACCATGTCGAACAATGCATTTTTGTTCCTGCCTCTCGCGTTCTCTTCTCTTCCCGCTGTCCTACCTTTCGTGTCTCCCTCCTCTCAAGTACACTTCCCCCATTTGGAGTGCATGCTGCCTCTTCATTTGGGGAGTCTTATATATTGTTTAATAATATGTGTTTTATTTGGTTTTGCTTAGGGTGATGTTCATTTTTCTATGGGTAGTTCACCCCTTCTGGGGAGGATACAAAACCTTGGTTTTTGCTCCAAGAAGATCCAAGACCCATCCGTCCCAAAAGGGGTGAAATCAGCGGACTAGATGTCGGCGAACCAGGCCTCATCCTCATCCACTGGTCCCCGGGGAATGGGGGTCCAAACCCAGGGCCCTGTTCTTCTCCACCCTTGGGCAGCTAGTTGTCAATTTCCACCGTTTGAGTGGAACCACCAGGCTGTGGGTCATGATCCCCAAATCAGGGTAGCTTGACCCTGAAACCTGGGGGCGGGTGGTCCATTCCGTTCACGCGCTGACGAGTCAAATCCCTGGGGTGACACGTCTTGTCCACGACACACTGATCGTTGAACAACAAGTTGCACAAATTAGGGCAGCTACAAAAGATGATCGAAAGAGAAGGTCCACGAATCGGCGAACCTTCCGGCACCCCCCCGCAAGGATGCGAGAAAAGGCATGGAGCTCATCCAGAGCAAAGAAAGGGAGAGCGCCCACAATGGCACCCTGTGGAAGAACTCGTCCAATGCATTTGGTAGCACGGGCAGTAGGAACCCCAGGGAGAGCAAAAGGCGTCCTCTGGATCGTAACAATGCACTTCCGAAGTTGCAGCACAAGATCTTGGAAATGAGGAGGTCGTTGTCGGAGGCGAAAACCTCTCTTATAAAACAGAAAAGCAAGTTCCTGGTAAGTGCACAACACTCCCTCTTGGACTTTCCAATGAAGCGATTGGAAAAAGGCCAAAACTGTGTGCCAATCATCGATCCCAAAAAGCACTTTCGGAGGAGGGGATTCCAACGGGAAATTGAGTGTTATGTTGAATTCACTGACATCGATCTCCCATGCCAATCCAGGAAAGCACATCCTAGGGTCTTGAAGTTCCTGTTGCTTAGACGATCGTGGTTCAAAATGTAGATCATCCAGACATTCAGCGCCAATATGCTTGTTGAGGAGCGTGAGAACCTCTTGTTGATGCAAAATAGCAGAATGAAAGAATTGTTTGTCACCTGGTGCTATCGCACATCGTGCGAGGGCCTGCTGCTTGGCAATTCTATCGGCTTGACGATTGAGTTCAATATGTTTGCGCGAAGTACCAAGCTGTTCTATTCGGTCAGCTGAAACCATCGAAACTGGTATGTGGTCATCAACATGGGCCGGGATCCAAACCATCCTGATAACATCATTGCAGCTGTGAGGGCTCCGGATGTTTATGAGTCGCAGAAGAAACTGCCACCACTCCAAGTGCACATAGTTCCCTGGTATAAGGCGGTTCTCAACAAGGGCGTTCACTTTAGTGACAACTTCACGACAATCACTGTAAATGCACAGGCAGCAATTTGCCCTGGCAGCTGCAACAACAATTGCCCAAAGTTCTGCAGAATACGAGGACAAGGACAAGTGGGAAACAGGCCCGGCAGCGAATGTGGTGCCGTCTTCCTGTATAACGGCAAACCCAGCTGCAGTGAGCGGAAAGCATTCGCCCCAGAAAACAGAGCCATCAGTCCATAGAGAAAGAATATCATCAGGGTGGTCGAAATCACACGGTACTAGATCAGCTGCACGATCAATACGCAAACGATGCCAGATTATTGGCCAAGGGTGCTCAATAATGCCGAGTTGCTGGAAGTTGGAGCCAAACTCATGTGGAGGTCCAAATTGAAAGTGTCTGTGAGCATCCGGGCAGCCCAAAATCTGCACCAAAGACTCCTTCTCATGTAAGCAGAAACGACAAGAACTGGTGTCTGAGTAGTTGGCTGCAAAGCGGCGATCATTGGTAATAGTGCAGCCAACCTGTTGAGCTTCGAAGAAAGAGAGCAAAGGCGGACCATGAGCTGTCTGCGCAGCAGCCTGTCTACCATAGAGCTTGGTGTGAAAAACATCGATGAACCCTTCCGGCTTGAAGAAGTCTTTACGATTGAGATTCGCTGGGTGCGAATAATGTACCTGCACTGCAAAATGTTTGAGAACAGGAGTGATGTCACGTACAGAGATCTCACGCAAAGAAATCTTTGTGTCTTCCCCGAAGCCAATACACAATGAGTCATCAAGACAGAGGCCAAAGGTGGCAAACGCATTCTGCACATTCTCAACCAGGGTGTGTCTGCCTGCCTTAGGGAGACGTGCAAGTCGACAGCAGCGATCAAAGGCATCACACTCGTGTTGGAGAAAACGGACAAAGTCTAAGATGGCACAAAAGGAACGGGCTACAAAAGGGTCACTCCTGTGAGGCTGCGCAAGCAGACCTAAAACAAGGTGCTTGGCTCTCCAGTGCGGTCGCTGACCCCAGAGCGCTTGCGTGATTTCAGCTTGGATCTTGTCGAGGGTTGCCTTAGGGATTTTGGTTATATGGGCAGCAAAGGAGCACTGTGGGATGACCTTGGACCCAATAAGCTGACATTTAACTGAACGCGGGAGTGGCAGGGCTCCAATGTTGCGAATATCACCACAGATCTTCTGAGCCTTTTCATCAGCGAAGTCAAAAGCAATACGCTGCGAGGTATAAATCTTTGTACCCAAAACATCAAAAGTCTCCTGAATTAAAAACCCAGGGAACTCAGCTTTGGCAATCTTCCGGGCAGGACCATTGGAAGCCCAGACAACAGATTTATCTTGATTAAGCTTCTGACCGACCAAGGAATCCCAAAGCTTAGTGACTTCAAGGGCAAGCCTAAGTTGAGCAACAAACTGGATTTTTGCCCAAAGATAGATGTCATCAATATAAATGCGGCAAGACAGGTGGGGAACATCACGGAGGAAGGCAACCCACGATCTCATGTAGGCATTAATGGCTATCAATGAGAACGAACATCCCTGCGCAACTCCGTTCGGAGCCGTGGTGGGTGTTCCAGAGGTCCACCCCCTATACGAAAGATGTTTACGGAGCCCGTTGTATTGCCTAACAAAAATGCTGACGACTGCTTTGGAGCATCCAAGTGCCAGCAAGATGATAGCAACAAAGGCTGGAATAATGCGATCAAAACACTTACTCTTGTCGAGCTTGATCCCAACAATGGCTTCATCCGCAATGGCAGCTTCATCAAGCTCAAGTCTGAGTTTGGCAGGGATGGCAGTCATATGTCTGCCTGCAATTCCCCCCACGATCGACGGGGGCATGGTAGAAGCTTGCCAGTCCTTAGCTTGCCGAAAGCGTGAGCCCGTGTAGGCTAGCAGCAATGGTGGCAAGATGGTAATGAGCCGTTTATTCAGTGGGGATGAGGGTCCTGGTTTATTAAGGATCACAATCTTGGCAGCAGTTAAAGCAAGTGGGATCGAGTGATCAGCATTGGCTTCAAGTCTTCGGAAAAAGGCTGCAACAAGCTCACAGATTTCGAGGGGGAAAGCTTGGAGTTCCGTGGTTCTCCAGCCATCGAGCCCAGGGGCAGCATGAGCATTACGAGCCTTAAGAGTGGCAAAAATGTCAGCACCCGTGATTGGCGGGGGGTTCCAAGGATGATTCTCTCTCGAAAGATAAGGCCAAAGCACTTTGAGGACCTCGATGGGGTCGTCATGACCAATGTTGGCAGCAAAAATGCTATCCCATTGCTCGTTGATAGCGCACAGGGCATCATTTGGTTGATAAACGATATGCCCTTGTTGATCAATGACGAGGTTGTTGGGCTGATCTTGTGCTTTATTCTTGAGGTGGTGATAAATGTAAGCTCGCGTAGACTTGGCGGAAGCA